TTCACCTAGATCGGATGAGTAGTTTACGAGAACACTCGCGGACAAAAAAGTACCGGAGAACAAAGAAAAAATTCAGAAAAAGTAAAAACAATATGTTCCCAAACTTCGTTTGGGGAACATAATAATAATAAGAAACAGAGTAAAAACAATATGTTCCCCAACTTCGTTTGGGGAACATAATAAACTTCAATAGCAAAACACGTTAAAGGTTAAATGGTATGTTTATCTTAAAAATCATTTCAAATTCCACTTGTGTTAAAGAGATGCATGTTTTAAAAATAATACCGGTAATAATACATGTATACGGCTAGTCAAACCCCGTTTTCATAAACTCGAGGGTGTTCGAAAAATCAACTTTGAGATATCCAAGGGTTCGAGATATTTAAGAGGGTAAAATACTTAAAAGAAAAGGTGCTTGAGACTTCCAAATCACTTCGCCATATTCATGGCTTTCGAGATATCTGAGTTGGTGATACCGAAGTACAACTGTATAAAGTATAGTAGATTTTGCAGTACTCACCGTCATAGATAGCGACTACGTCATTATAGCAGGCGAGAGACGGCTGGAGTTGACTGTCAATCACTCGGAGGTACACGGAGGGGTCCTCTATAGAGTTTGTGGCAGTTATTACCCAAGACATGGAACTGGAGCTGAAAAAGGAAGATTCGAAGTCTAATATCACAGAAAGATTATGATCTTTCATTATCAGTGCTCAGTGCTTCTTTGTTTAAAGGAATGGAGATGTGCAGATTGTGTCCTCTCATTTCATACAGAAATTAGGATAATCATACCAAAGGAAAAAAGCAGAAGAAATCAGAATATATGTATAATTTTGCAATTCTGAGGTAAAATTATTAAACTAAATCGAGAACGTGTCTTTCTGTCATGCTGTACATGTGCATGGGGGTGGGGGATGTAGCTTCTAATTTTTTTCAGTACTAAATTACGTGACTCTAACTTACTGTACATGTAATGCATGCAACAACAGAATTGGGATGGTGGGCTCCTGGACTTTCAGTAAACATTTATTATAGTAAAAAGGCTAAGTATGGGGAAAGAGACCCAGGGTAGCAGCCCCAACCCACTCCACCCTCGGTGTACGTTCCTGAGCTTAACTGTTACAATGCCAGCCGTCTTTGAACGTATTGTTTTCTTTTGTTCGTATATAATGTTTTCTTTGTTAGTTTAAGAAGACTGATGTGAATCAAACCTGCACTATATTTCTTATATTCTAATCTAGTAAATGTGTTATCTTAAATCATGGAAGGTGTTATTTCTCGTTTACAATCAAAAATATATTTTAAAGTTTGATAGAATTCCTCATATTAAGTTTTGATTAGTTTTTTTTTCCGAGTCAATCCATCTAAATGCTCTTGTTATTAAATTGCCATTTAAGGATAAGCTACTTAAAGATATGTAATAAATCTTAAAATCAAAGAAAATAATTGGTTAATTTTTGCTCAGGCGTTGACGTGATCTAAATTCGACAGATAAACTATTAGTATCCAAGTAAACCATTTTAAGCACGTATATAGCATCCGAGTGGGGGGGGGGGTCCCCCTCTTTTTCCAGATGTATCTTTTTACTGTACGGAAAATTTTACCTACGGTTTATTGATAGTCCGACCCTTCTTTTGTTGCAGTATAAGTAAATAAGGATAATATTAACGTATAGTAGCGTTTGATTTTAAATAAAATGGTACTGAAAGGAGTTGGAATCTACAACCCCACCCCACCCAAACCCCACGAAATACATATAGAATTATCGAGTGTGGACAATTTCTATTTTATTTTTTTTATTTTATTTATTTATTTTTGGTTTGTCAAGTATTTTTCAGGCATGTAGATTTTTTTTCTCTGCCCCCTTTCAAAAATGATATTGTACAAAAGAGAAATAGAGCTGTGTATACTATAGATATCAAAGTTGTCTTATACACGGTACTCACTCTCCGTAACTTTGTGGATAGTTGGGTGATGTGATATATTGAACAGTTTCGTTTGCTGTAAGATACCTCGTTACTCCCTCTGAAATTAAAAATCATGTGTGGAACGTAGACGTTTACGAAAATTAATTACCGTATACGAACTAATGCACTTGTAGAATAAAAATCAGGTTTGAATCTTAAAAATGTTTCATTAATTTTAAATGCACATGTAAAGCATCATTTTATATACATTGAATACGTATTTTTATTATCATTTAAAAGTAATTTATACGAAGAAATTCAATATTCATAAATACAAAAGACTTTAAAGGGTTTAAGATTTACTAGTTTTAATAATACTTTATTTACTTACCAACAAAATATGAATAGTAATAAAATATAAAAGTTGTAGATATCAAATTTCCAATGTTCATTTTCCTGTACATTTTGAAGTCTGTAGTCACTTTTTCATTATTATTCCTCCAAACTCGACGACGGAATCAGACATCCATACATTTCGTTTTACACAAAACACTCTAATACCTTTGTTGATCAAATGAGATTTGTTGACGTTGTGTTGTTCTAACACAATGTATTAGCCAATATCACATATTCTTTCAAATCTTTTATTTGTTTACACATGTACGATCAAATCCATGCGTTTCTTATCCTTTCGGTCAAAAATGGAGATTACAACTTACGTTGATGAGTTAACAATAAAACCATCAGGAAATCTCCATAGGAGAGAACTTCAGTGATGTTTTAATAATGGATTCCATAAACCGATTATCTGCTTTTTATAAAAAGATTTTCTTACATTGTATTTTCCGAATGCCGACGGGGCATTTTTAAATACCCGTTAAATAATACGCTAAATCATTCAGAAAAATTTAATTCGGGGGTTGTTTGTATATAATATAAAATAACTTTCTCATGGTGACAAGTGGATAAAAAGGTATACACGTGGGGACCTCGATCATCAATTTTTATCTGTCACTCAGCTTAATTTTTATCCTTCATAGAATTTATTTGATAATTAGAAATCAACACGAATCATTTGAATTAAAATTCCTTCTTGGTATACGTTAAACCAAAGCCGTTTCATTCTCAAAATGAAAAAAGAAATAAAATTCAAATATAAAGAATGATGCATCATTTTATTTCAAGACGAACTCCTTTATAATTACATATCGTTTCTAAAAGGGATGAATTGAATATGATTATAATAAATCGATCATTACCACTTTACCAGTTATTCGAGAAGAGAAAACAGGCTGAAGTTTTTTGATAATGTGTTTGTGGAATACTCTATAAATACTAAATAACCAACGCTAATTTTATTTACTCTCAATTTTCCAAAATGTGAAAAACCTTATTTGTTGGGGCACCTTTTCTAGCGGAAAGGGGTCTGCGTTTCCGGGGGGGGGGGGGGGTTCCAAGATAACTTTTAGTTGGTTAAGTATACTAATATATATTTAATAACTCTGCAAATTCCCTACCCCCCCCCCAGATCCGAGCATATAATCAGAAAAGATTAAACCTCTGGTTGTGTAAAAAAATGAAGCTTAATTTTAAAAAATGAAACGCGATTCGGTAATAACATATACATACAATGTATGTATTTCAGGTCACAGGTGGTACTCGTAATGTACATGTATTATATATAATGACAAGCACGCTATTGAGTGTCTGCAATCCAACCATTCGAAAAATGTCAAATAATTTCTGGAACTTTATCGCTTTTATTCTTTTTAATTTTAGCGTTCAACAAACCAATTCAGGTAGGTCTCGAGACTTTTGACTTCTTTTTTATGCCATTAAATTCATTAAGAGTCATTCTTTTATTTACATGTATTATCAAATTGAAACCTTTCGCATCTGAAAATAATCATACATAAATCATCACATTTAAAAGTTTAAAACATTAAAAAAAGTTTTAAACTATAAAAAGTTTTTAACATTATATTAGAATACCTGAATATTTGACATTTTTGAAATTCAACAAACAGCGCTAGCAAATTTTTGTTCATTATCAATAAGCTTTAAGGTATTTCTAGCTATATAGGATCTACATGCACTTCGGTATTTACATGTACTAAGGGAGTGCATTGACAACATTGTACAATAAGGACTGGCAATAGTTTTGATATTGTACATATTTGAACAAATTAATTACACAAAATTGACATTCAGTATGTTTTTACATGCTCAGTAAAGAAAACTTTGAAGGTGTGTTCGAATTACACGTACTTCCTACATTCTGTGTCTTATAATTATGCAATTTATTAAAATTCATTTCAATTAAAAAACCTTTGTTGTTGCCCCTGATGTCAGTCATTTTCCAAATATCTAGTATATAGTACATGTAACTCTTTTTTTTTCTTATATACAATTATGCAACACGAAAAGCTTGTGAGAAAGGATGGGCTAGTTTTGGAGGAAAATGCTACTACTTCCTCTTGGATGAAATGAACTTTCTAGCGGCAATGGTGAATATATATAGTGTACCATTATATCTGATTGCCTATCTAAAACATCACTAGATTTCAAAGACCTCGTGAGCATTGGACTTATAAATTTTCAAGGAGAAACGGATGATATAATGAATTTGTGATAAGGAGAACAACAAACTAAAATGAAAATTAATGTTCTTTTTTTCTTCTTAAATTTAATTTGACTTTAACTCTAACACTAACCAAGTGAGTTTTATTTGTTCTGTTTACATGCAGACAGCATGTCACAAAGCTGGCGCTGATGTGCTGGAATTTCACAATCCTTTGGAGGAGAAATGGATTGATTTACAGTTTCGACTCAGAGGTATTTACATATACATGCACTGATATATATATTCTCTTTTGATTCATAAGTTTCTGAACTGTAACAAACACAAACAAAACGGTATTTCTAAGTACAGGTAACTATTTTAGCAATCCCCCATCACAATTTAAAAAAAAATGTCTTTCAGAAATTATAATTACGTAAAATTAATATAAGTATTTTTATTGAGATATGACTTCATCATCCAGTAATTTCTTTGCAGGTTATGATGGAGTCTGGATTGGAATCAGTGATCTTCAACAAGAAGGACACTTCATTTCCGTATCAGAGGCCAGACCGCCACGATATCTGAAATGGGCCAGAGGAGAGCCCACAAATAGTGGCAGTAATGAACACTGCGCGTATTACTATTATACATGGAGAGGACTGGTCGACGTACGGTGTTCTAACAAATACAACGTTGTGTGCAAAAAATAAATTTGAAGATTTCCCAGAAATCATATTTAACATCATTAACATTTTCTATTAACTCCCTCTGTGGTGCAAAGTCTTATCACGAACTAATGAACCCGAATTAATACGCCTGTGAAATGTATATGAGAGATGATAGCCGTAGCCCCACCACTCAAAAGTAATGGGAAGAGTTGAAGTTTTTTTCCGGACAAACAGATATTAAACAGACTGATTGACTGACGGACAGGACAAAAACTACCGGGAATAAACCCCGAATCTTCGATTACGGGTGCATTCAAAAGTGTGTGTTCTTAATTTTGACCAATCATTTGTAATGACTTCTTAATTGTTATCATATGAAACACTCTTTCCAACAACAACAATGCCCTCTTTCCCTTTCCTTTGCACTAAATTTCTCAGTCATAGGCGTCGGAACCAGGGGGCTTTGGACCCCACCCCCCACTCCGGTAGGGGTGGGGTTATCCCCCCACCTTTTGGCAAAGATAGACATATTATTGAACATTGGAGCGTATGTTTAGCCCCCCCCCTCTCCCCTTTCAACAGAGAGGTCGCAGTTTAGATCAAAAAGAAGTGGTAGTGTTTGTAAAGAAAAAAATTGAAAGAAGTTCGACCCCCCCCCCCCGCCCCCTACACACATGAAATAGGATTTCTTGTTTGGAGAATGGACACATTATTCTTTTTTTTCTACACTTCCCCCACTTTCAATTTGCTTCCGACGCCAGTGTCTCTTAAATTATCCCCCAACTACCACAATCTGATGATGTAATTTTTGTTACATAGTTACATTATTTCATATTTTACAGCTATCGTTTCAACAACTGTTTTTTTTTCTCACCGTCGAAAAGGCTTCTTTTAGTTTTACGTTTGGTTTGGTGTGATGGTTCACCGGTATGAGCGTCACACGCCCGGGTACATGCGTAATCTCAAGGTCTCGAAAATATAATCAATATTTCTATTCCCATTGTAACGATGTTACGATAATGATTGAAAGTTCCAAATCAACGACTCATAAACCGACCAAAGCTAACTGAAAAGGTTAGTAAATGTTATAAATTTAACTACTCTGTTTTTGATTATAAAATATGTGTATTAATTTATGTTTCATTACATTTTTTTAATATACCGATATATTACAGAGAGTATACATCAAATGATGGATAATATATTTACAAGTCCCACAAAGACGCATTATAAATTGGTATCATTTGCTCAGAGCAAGGTAAGAGGCAGTTTTAAGTTTACTTAGATTCATATATAAACCGACCTGGAAGCAAGGGAATTTACATTTGTGTTCCTTCCATATGATTTTAAATTAATATTTTCTGTTTCTCCAAACTGAAGTGGAAGAAATATTATACTGTCTAGTATTTATAAAACCAGTGGCGGATCCAGAAATTTTTAAAAGGGGGGGCCCGACCAGTTCTAGGTCAGGGTAGGGGCCCGAAGCCACACCCAAAAACAATGATTTATTAAATATTGTGTATTTTTTGGACTCAAAAGGGGGGGCCCGGGCCCTCTGGCCCCCCCCTCTAAATCCGCCAGTGAAAACATCATACATGTGTATTTATTGGTTCCTTGCGGAGACATTTCCACAAATTATTTTAGATTTCTTTCATATTAGCTCGTATCTTACTAAATTTTGTTTAAAATAATCTCAAGGTCACAATTTAAGTTCCTATGGTATCCTTGAATTTATGTAAACCGTAAAAATATTCTTAAAAGCTTTAATTTCAAAAAATCAACTCCGCATCACATATATATGGGAATCTTTTTATCAAAATAGATGCTGTCTCTTTAAAACTTATTTAAAAAAAATAAATAAAAGGCCTAAAAGGCATAAGTATCTATGACAAAGATCCCATGGATATATCTCCGGAAATCACCACTCCATGCATGAGTGTTTTCTCAAGTAGGTCACATGACTTCCGCTAAAAATATAAACAAACAAATATCAACGTTTTTCGTGCTTGTCGATAAATTGAATGTTTGGAGAATCTGACTCTGTCATGTGCAGAAAAAAGGTCTGAAATAAAAGTTTTATATTGGCTTATCGTTCCTTGCAACAATAGCATTTCGAGTAAACAAGGCCGGTACACGAAAATGCATGGGCTGCATCACAAGACATGTTGAAGACAGTTCAGGGTCGAGAAATGGGAATAGGCCTTTTTCACGTGACTGTGTTTCACGTTCATTTGTCTGTTACGTGGCTGTTTGATTGTTTGATTAATCCCCGTTAATTCCAGAAGCAATGCTGAATATTTTTCTCAGAATTGATTAATATGTAAGATTCTTTTAATTTGCACCCTTTGGACTTAATTCAGTTTGGCCACCGGATATGGATTACGTACGTATATATTGCAGCATATTATAAAGATTTCTAAAGATATTTAATATTCTCATGAAAAAATATGTCAAAAGAAGTATATTTTCATCTGTACTTGGACAAGATTTCACTTTGGAGTTTCAACACTTTCAGATGAAAGAAGAATTTTTTAATTTGTTGTGTACTATTTTTAATAGGTCTCATCACCAAATGTGCCAGTATCAGTGGATTCTTACAATAATTCACTAAATGGTTCCCTCGTTGGAGACACAAACTCTGAGTCAGGGGCAAACAAGATCCGGAGTGCATTTAAGGATGATGACAGTGGTCCATACAAGAGGCTGAGCTGCTCTCTGAAAGTTGACGGTTCAGACACTGGGTCCCATGAGGAAAATGAAGAGACAAGGGGATTCACCAAATCAGAGAATGATGTTGAAGCTCAGAAAATTCATCAAAATTATCTGGTTTGTATGACCTCGATCATGTGGTTTTTTGCTATGGACACTATATACATAGCTGCATGCAATTTTTATCAGTTAATTGGCAATGAAAATTGTAAATTTTTAGCTTACCTATGCAGAAAACTCAAATGAGCATTTCTGATCATCCATTTGTCTTTCCATCAATCTGTATAGGAATATGACTTAAGATATTTTCTTCCCAAAGTCAGAAAAGAAATTTAATGAAAGATTTCTGAGGTAATATAGATTCCAAATGGCTCAAACATGACCTTAGGGGGGATCCTTAATTATAAGAAATCAAAATCTATAAATAAAAATCTTCTCAAGCACAGTTAAGCCATGATTAATATACGGAAGTAGACTCAGGAAACAGAGATTTGTGTTATTAGTCAAATTATGACTCCAGGAATTAAGTCAGGTGAAGGCACATATGGAGGTTGTAATTTAAATATAAAGGGAGAAAAAAAATGATAAATTTTCTTCTAAAGTACAGCAGTGCCATGATTAGTCATTTATATGAAAGCAACATCAGATAGTTTAGATTCATGTTAGGGCATCTAAAGGTTTATTCGAAGTCACTTTTGGTGGTATTTTCCTTAATTTATTCCTGAGAATAAGTGAACTTATACCATGGAAAAGTAGCGGTAGCCTAAAAAACATTCTCTAATCTGTAATGTAAAAATGAAATGTGTGTTTCACCAAGAAATTCAGTGATAATTAATTTATACACTTCAGATTCATAGAATCTTTTAAAACTTCTTTTGTTAATTTTATCATCTTGGTGACACTATATCATTTATCATGTTGTAGTTTGGGTTTAAAAAATGGAAGAGTCATGTGACAAGGAGACCCTTGTCAAATCGATCAGAGATTGTACAGACTTTATATGCTGATGTCAGTGAAGTCAAAGAACTAACAGGTACAGTCAAATGTAACCATCTCAAACTAACAGGTACAGTCAAATGTAACCATCTCAAACTAACAGGTAAAATCAAATGTAACCATCTCAAACTAACAGGTACATTCAAATCTAACTACCTCAAACTAACAGGTACAGTCAAATGTAACCATCTCAAACTAACAGGTACAGTCAAATGTAATTATCTCAAACTAACAGGTACAGTCAAATGTAACCATCTCAAACTAACAGGTACAGTCAAATGTTACCATCTCAAACTAACAGGTACAGTCAAATGTTAACCATCTCAAACTAAAAGGTACAGTCAAATGTAACCATCTCAAACTAACAGGTACAGTCAAATGTAACCATCTCAAACTAACAGGTACAGTCAAATGTAACTATCTCAAACTAACAGGTACAGTTAAATGTAACTATCTCAATGTTGATGGGGCTGAGTAAATTTTTTTTATGATATCTGAAGATTCAATAATTTGAAGCTTAATATGAAAAAAAATGTGAGTGGAACTTTTGATGCACTTACAAATACAAGTATCCCTATTTTTTTCAGTGTCCACAGTTGGATTTTGGAACATCCTTTATGCGGTTTTGTTTGGTTGGTGGATTGCGCTGGTCTATTGTCTTGTTGGAGGTTTAATGTATATTACAGTCATTGGTAAAGAATATGGTAAGAATTCAAGGGAGATAAATCCTGTTTTCTTTTTAATAATCATTTATTATTATTTTTTAAGTCTTATAGAGGCACTGAAACAATATCAATGTATTTTATATAAAAAACATTGCAGTTAAGGAATTACTATGAATTTTTCTTTCAGCTCACTTCTGCTTTAGAATGGCAGATTATTTTTTCTGGCCATTTGGTAA